TACTAAAGATAACATCATATTGTAGCTTTGTCACCTTAAAATTCTCTCTAAAGATGTAGGCATGTATAAATATCAAGGTTTCTTCTTCACACGTCTCACTCAATATGTTCTCTTGATCATTTATAAAATACATACTTCTTCCTTTGATTGCTTTAGTTTTAATTCTAATTTGGCTAGCAATTTTAGTTTAGATGTAATTTTTTGTAGAGCCACAATCTACAAGCACTCAACATGATTGTCCTCTTAGTAGTCTCATTAGATATATAAGTTGACTTTTTTTATAGTTATCTAAGGCTATGCCATTTGTCTCTAAGAGATAGTAGCTATTCCTAGTATTGGCCCTACGTGCCTTTACTAAGGAGCCATGTTTTTCTCTTTTGACTCATTATTGACTTAATGATTTTGAAGACTATGAATCCACCTTATCTTGTTGGTGCTTGAATGTTGATGTTTTGGACAACCTTCCATCTATCAACCTAACTCTTGAGAATAAAAACATAATTTCTTTTATACCAATATTTATCATTTTTGTGGTATCAATAATCCTTGTACGGCATCAATCTCCATTGGCATTGGTTGTTGTGCCATAATATTAGATAGCAGCATAAGACTTCTTATTCTAGATCATACTCCATGATTTTTGAAATTTGTAGCATCAACCTTCTCTGAAATCTTAATTGCCTCTTTGAATGTTTGTGAATCCTTTATCTCTACCTCTCACTAGATCATAGGTTTCAAACCTCATAGGAATTGATCTATTATCTCTACTTCTAAAACATTGTCAATTTGAAGACATAAGGACTTGAATCGAGAGACATAATCTTGTATCAACCTAATTTGTGTAAAATTTGTCAATTGATCGCATGCTATCTATTCCACATTAATGGACCAAAATTGATTCATAAACTCAGTCTTAAACTTCTCTTAGTCACAAAATCCACCTTGAGCTCAATAACTTTGAACTTGATGTCCCTACCAAATGACTGCCACATCTCTCAAATAGTTGGCTGCATATAGAATTCCTTCAATGGTATTTGTTCCAAATAGTTGGAGGTATTGTCACATGTTGAAGAGCCATTGATATATGACTTCTTGTCATGAAGTCTTGGAGTATATACTTGACTTATTCAATTTCAACCTAGCAAATGTCAACTCTTTTGTCCTCAAGGCTTCTATTTTCTCTTACAAAGTAGCTATTTAGCCTAAGAGTTATTATATTTGAACCTCCATATGGGATTACTCTACCATATCTCTTATACTATAATTTCTCTACTATGCTCTACTATTATAATACCTTTTCACCTCCCGATTGACTTTTTAAGATTAGCTTGTAGTAGCATCAACATAGTACCTAGTGTGACTACAACAAATGACCTTGACATACTAAAAGTAAATAGTCTGATATTTGCTTTGGTACCAATGAAATAGAACTAGACTATTTCAAAAACCTAAGATCCTTCTAATCCATAATAATATAAAATCTCATCACAAAATAAGATAAAATAGACCAAAAAAAAACTAAATAAAATTAAATAAAATAGGACATGAAAGACAAAATTGAAGAAATGGAAACAGAATAAAATTGAACAGAAATATACAAAACCAAATTTTATTAAGAGAAAGGATCCAAAGCCATACCTAACTAGATGCCTCAAAAGGCCTTAGCCAATCCTATTTATATAAGTTCTATCATCCTAGACTTTCTAGAATCTTCCTTGATGATGGACTTTACTTAGATAATCACCCTAAATTCTTTTTAGAAGATTTTATGGTAGGCCCTACGTAAATAACTGCCTTAAGTCTTTTTTAAAATTTCTATCATAAAGCCTATCTAAATAACCACCTTAAATTCTTTCTAGAATGTTCTTTATAGATCCTACATATTCTACTAATCTAAATTCAAATTTTGGAAACTTCCATAGTTTTAACTATCTATACAATTATCTTATTTGTACCTTATTATATAGGATATAAATAAGATATTTATATTATTGACACATAGGAATAGATAATTGGAATCATATTTGAAAAATTATAGAAGTTTCTAAAATTAAAGCTAGGTTAATGGATGATATAGAATCTACTATAAAATATTATAGAAAGAGCCTATGCTAGTTATTTAAGGGCGGCCTACCATAGAACCTTCTACAAGGAATTTAGGACGATTACCTAAGTGAGGTCTATCATCTAGGAACATTTTAGATGTCCATTGTGGTAGAATAGATATAAATAGGACTAGCCATGGCCTTTTGGACATTTAGTTAAGCATGGCTTTGGATCTTCTCTCTTAGTAAAGTTTGGTTTTGTATTTTCTTGTTTAATTTTAATTTGTTCTATTTTTGTTTGCACAATTTTATCTTTCATATCCTATTCTATTTAGTTCTATTCAATTTTATTTTGATCCATTTTGTTCTACTTAGTGATGAGATTTTATATTGCTTTAGATTAAAAGAGTCTTAGATTCTCAAGGTAGATTGGTCCTATATCAAAGAGCCTACAATCCATTATAGTAAGTTCTTCAACAACTTTCACATTTCAATGATTTTTTTTATTTTTTTTATTTTCTACTTTTGATTTCAACACAATCAATGTTTTTTCATCAATTCTTCAATTTCATATAAGGATAGATCAATGACTATGCAATTCTCTTTAATGATTTTAATATTTGATCTAGCATTGAATCTCTCTAACTTCAAATCAAAAGAAGTTTTTTTTCACATTTGTCACTTTATTAATTGATGCTTTGATTGTACTACTTAAATTTAACATTTTGAGTAAGAGATCATGCTTATCTTCTTTCATAATAGTTTTAATTACCGCTAAACCAAAGTTATAAGGTCTGAGACTTTAACAAAGAGGGTTTAGACATGTCTTTAATTCATCTTTGCATCTCATGGTTTGTGGGCTTCTACTATTATTTTTGTCATTGAAATTGATAGCATCCACAACTAAAAGTATTGAATGTTTATCCAATTCATTGTATAACAACAATGGATTTAGTTGCAATTAGCAAAAAAAAAAAAAAAAAAAAAAAACAAAAAAAAATCGAGTTGAAAAAAATTACATTTAACTTATTCTACATGAACTAGTTTGCCCTAGCCTAAAATTCCATCTCTTTTATTGATCATGTACAAGTCATAGGCCACATTTTTTATTGTAAGGTTATCTTTGAGTAAGTCATTTTATTAAAACTATGAATTTAATAATATGACCATATTTTCTACTTATAATTTTGCTATAAGATTCTATACCATTCCACTATAAGATTTTGCTCCAATTATTCTACTACTAGATTCTAAGCCATAAGGTGTGGCTAAAGTCATTGATAAAATTAAGTAAAAAAGTAAAGGCATCTCCAATGAACTTTAGAATATAAAAACATATTAAGCCTACAAATCTTGTAAAAAATCATCACCAATGCTATACAACATTGGTAATGCATGGAATACATTACTCTAGTGCCAAATCAAAAAATTTTGACAAAAGATTCATCTCTACACCTCTTGAATTCCCCTCACAAGCCTACTTATATAACTTCCAATTCCTAATAGATCTGAGCTATATATCTCCACTTTAATAAATCTGAGCTATACAAGTCTATCTTAACAAACACAAGCTCCAAGGTAAAAAATGATAAGCTATTATTATCTAGGAAAAGAAAAAGAGAGCAAGAAATATGAAATTTTATTTATCAAATGACAAACTTGGCAATAATGCTTGCTTGTCTTTGTTGTGATTCTTAAAGAGAGTCTTGGACACAAAAGATAGGACTACCTCTGCATTTATGGTTGCTGAGCTAAATGACCAAACACATTTTGGAACATGATGATTTAGCTCATCCGCATTGAGTTATAGTCATGAGTATACTATATGATTTGTAATAACATTGAATTGAATTATTCAAAACATAGCTAAGAAGTATGGCTTTAATAACTTTCTATATATATTATATCATGTTATTTATTTTATGTTGCATATTTTTATTGGTAGTAATAGAAGTTTTCAAATAATTTATTTTTTTCTTATTTAAATTTTAAAATAATTTAATTTTTTTAATAATATATAATATTTTTATAATTACTAAATTAAATAATAATAATCATAAAATTTCAATAATATTAAAATAGAATAAATAATAGCAACAACAATAGTAAATAATACCATTAATGTTATAATATGTCAAAATTTTATCTAATTTATAATCTCAACTAATTCTAAAAATTATTTATATTTTTTATTTTAAAATACTAAATTTAAACATATAAAATTCTTTAGTATTTAGATTATTACAAAAAATCTATAAAGTATATTAAATTAGTTTGTGTGACATTTCTATAATAAATATCTGTCATTAATCCATTCTTATTGCAATAAACAAATAAAAAACTATACAGTTTTGAAAGAAATAAGAAAAAAGAAATGTAAATCTTTTAAGATAAATTTTAGAATTTAATACTACTATCAATTCAAAAAAGAAAAAAGAAAAACTAAATTCTTATCAAATTCTTTGAATAAATTTTATATTTAATTTATTTCATACCAAAAAACCAAATTCCCTCTTCCATTCCTCTTTAATTTTATAATTATCAGTTGACTCACACTAATTAATTAAAGTTAGCGAGAAGGTTTTGATCATCCAACGAAGAACGCACTACATCATCACATGGATGAACAGCGAGGAACTCATCCAAACATTGAATGGGAAGAGAGCGCGTGGTTCCGAGGCCGCACCGCAATGAGGGCAGCAGCAGGGTCCACTCACAGCGCTGTCGAAAGCTACGCAGCAATATTCCCCAATATACTCACTCACTCACTCAATCAATCAATCAATGAGAGCGCCAATGATTGGCGCACCGGAGCGAACACAACGAACCATGGATCGCATGCACGATCGAGGCGCCCCACCCGCATGCTCGACGAGCTTGCCAACGCCGAGAGACAGCCCGGAGTGCCTCGCAGCCTATGAACTAACTCAGCATTCAAACACTATCACCGTTGTGTCCATGGAACTGTCCCCAGGAGCAACATGCTTCCTCCTGCCCGCCAAATCTTCCAGAGATTTGAAATCTCGATGAGGTTGCCATTAGTCGCTGTTGTCCTCGGTGGAGGACAATGCGAGGCGATGATTGCCCCGAATAGATGGGCAGGAAGGCATGTTCAACTGCAGAGGGGATGAGCGTGTTGTTGCGAGTTAAGCGGGAACGGAATTTCGAAATGCGGAGAAGGCGAAGGGTGAATACCATGGTTGGGTCCGAGAGATGATGCCCTCGGCTCCCTCCCTTTCTTCCCGCTCGGCAGTTTCCTTTCGCCCCCATCTTCGCTCCCTGTGAATCTTTCCTCGCTGGTCACTTCTCCCTTTCGTTGATCAATTTCAAGCCCTCGTTCTTTCTTTCCTGTTTCACGACTCCCCTGTTGCAGTCATCTCGTCTCGCGCACAGGGAATTCGAGTTAAATCGTTTTTGGATCCAGACGTGGAGTGGTTGGGATAGAAGATCGTGTACTGAGATTTGGAACTCAATGTCGCGGTCACTAACTGCCAGATTTGTTAAATGTTAGAGGGTTTCGATTTGTGCCTTTGCTGTAATTATTTAAGAGGATGCGCGAAAGCTATTTGCCGCGGTGCTTGCGTCTCGTCTTCCATGAAGCTGTGGTGGACGCTTGAGTTGTGCTCCGTTTGAAGGAGAACTCTTTACGTGTTGCGGTGTAGTTTTCGATTTTCTTAATACTGTGACGATCAAAAATAAGTGGAGGAAGGTGAATGCGGCTCTTTGTAGTTTGTGACTGGCATTTGCTTTGGTCCAAGGGAGATCAAGCCTTCTCTCAGATCTGCATTGCAATCCATGGACGCACGCCTTATCGTATAGTAAATAACTCTCTCCTGAAAAGTAGTGCGATATGCACTGCTGCATTGTCTTGACACTTGAATCCGAGCATTCGACGCGTTCTTGGCGACGGGCTTAGGTTTCGAACGAATCCATTGTATCCTTCTAGTTGTTCAAGTGAAGGGGTTCAGGAAATGTGATTTTTCGTTAGAGGTTTCTCTGCAGAAATACATCTCTAGTTGCATGGTTATTTGAGCTTCAAGGAACCCTGGCTCGCGATCTTGTGTCGATTTCTCCACGGACCCCTCGGATAGTATCCAAGGTTCCGGTCGAATTGATGGCTGCTCGATCAGAAAAAGACAGAAGCGTAGCCGTACAAGTCCTGCTTCGTTGCAGGTATTAATCCTCTTGCAATTTTTTGCAGTTACAGCTGACCCCTTTTCTTGCGAATAAGTGGCATGCTGAGGCTGTGTAATGCTCTTCTGCAGGCCTTTAAATGAAGAAGAGAAAAGAATAAAAAATCCTCAAGTCATTTCTTGCAATGATACTCGACGAGAGGTCACCGTACTTCAGACTATCGCTAGCAAACAAATTGACCGAACATTCACTTTTGACAAGGTTGGTTGACATTTACGAACATTACATCCTCGTTTTGTACCTCGTCAGTATGCGTGCGCAGCATTAGACGGCATGTTCTGAAGGCAATCCTGAACTTAATTTCCAAACGATTTCAGCTGAAATTGCATTGTACTGTACTGTTTGCCTCCAATCATGCTTTCTTTTAGTCTTAAGAACGAAGAAATGAGCCATGCGTCCGATTTCCACACACTATCCCCCTCCATTTAATTTTGAACATGTCCTCTTTCCAACATGTTTTGTAAAGCATCACAGACCCTCAACATTGAATGTTTGTTCTAGAGATGTAGAAAATGAGTCGTTGCATGGAAGAATTAGAAGTTAAATCGAATCGCTTGTCTTTGTGGGTTTACTATCTCGTCCTTCCAAATTCTTACTTAATTTCTGCCACTAATTGTAATTCAGGTATTTGGGCCGGCTTCAAGACAAGTTGATCTCTATGACCAAGCCATCGCTCCAATTGTCAACGAGGCCTTAGATGGTTTCAACTGCACTATATTTGCTTATGGACAGACTGGGACAGGGAAAACCTACACCATGGAAGGATTAGGAAGAAAGTCGAAGGTTAAGTATCTTCCAGGGTGGGAAAGTCGTTGAATTTTTCTCTGGGTCACATAGAAACTTTCGCATGTGTCTACCTCTTGCCAGGAGGCTAGCAGTATCAAAGAACATTGGAATGGATCAAAGTTGGGATCCGATTGTTGTCTAATACTGAAAAATTACATTGCAGAATGGAGAACTTCCTGCCGACGCTGGAGTAATTCCTCGTGCTATACAACAAATTTTCGAGACTCTTGACAAAGAAAATCAAGAGTATAGCGTCAAAGTCAGCTACTTAGAGCTTTACAATGAGGAACTCACCGATTTACTGGCACCTGAAGAGTACTCAAAGGTGGTAATCGATGAGAAGATTAAGAAGCCACTTGCATTGATGGAGGATGGAAGAGGAGGAGTCCTAGTTAGAGGTTTAGAAGAAGAAATCGTTACTAGTGCGAACGAGATTTATACTCTACTTGATAGGGGTTCGGCAAAACGCCAGACTGCCGAGACTTTGTTGAATAAACAATCCAGGTGCGTTTTTGCGGTATGAACTGAACTAGTTGGAGCTCTATTTTTCCTTGCGCTTTTGCATTTGGACGATGTCTGGCTGAAAGGATATGAGATTCACGTTAACACTTGCGCTGGAAGTTGGGCATTGACGTCAAATTTTGCTTTGAAGTCAACTCGAAGACTTTCTGTGAAAAATAAGCATTGTAAGACCAATTATGCAAATGTTATCCTCACTGGATGTTCTTCATCCTTCGCAGCCGATCTCATTCTATATTCTCAATTACTATCCATATTAAGGAAACCACTCCTGAAGGCGAGGAGCTGATGAAATGCGGAAAGTTGAATCTGGTGGATCTGGCAGGATCCGAAAATATATCTCGCTCTGGTGCCAAAGACGTAAGTAGTGTGTGCTTTATTCAACGATTCGTCTTTTAAACTATTTTTTTGACAATGTTCCACTCGGATTTAATTGTAATTGTACCTCCTGTTCTCACAGAATCGGGCTCGAGAAGCTGGAGAAATAAACAAAAGTCTTCTCACTCTTGGACGTGTCATTACATCTCTGGTCGAACATCTGGGTCATGTTCCTTACAGGTGATGAATCCTGTAATTTTCGACTTGTTGCTGCCATAAAATTGAATTCCCTCGTGTTGTTTGGATTTGAACGTGCCTCATGTCTCCTCTTTTGCAGGGATAGCAAGTTGACAAGACTGCTTAGAGATTCTTTGGGTGGAAAAACAAAGACATGCATCATAGCCACTGTCTCCCCATCTGTCCACTGCCTTGACGAAACACTCAGCACCTTAGACTACGCGTATCGGGCTAAAAATATAAAGAATAAACCAGAGGTGCATTTCTCACCATAAACTTCATGTCCATTGCCTTTTTGCAGTGGCGATTCCTAGCATCCAGATCCACACCGTTACAGTTCAGTCTGACTGTCTGCCCATGCGTGCTCAGGTGAATCAGAAAACTATGAAGTCCGCACTTATTAAAGATTTGTATGGGGAGATAGAGAAACTAAAAGCAGGTGCTGAAGTGTACCTTTTCCTCACATTCTAAATTCTGAGTAAGGACGATATAACTGCTCAAATCCATTTTGGCAGCCACCTTCTGACTGATATATTTTGTATTTATATGTAACAGAGGTATATTCCGCTCGTGAAAGGAATGGTATATATATTCCTCGGGAACGCTACTTCGAGGAGGAAGCTGAGAAAAAGGTCAAAAACATCTACCCACCTTGTTAAACTAAATGACATATATTGGTTGTTTAATGTTTCTTGCCATTATCAAAGCACCAATTGTCGAACTTCCACTTATGACAGTTTAAATTTAAGTTCATATTGTTGCAGGCAATGGTGGACAAGATTGAGCGCATGGGATTGGAAGTGGAAGCTAAAGACAAGGTATTATTTGGACCACTAAATACCATGTGCGTTGTGTCTGTTACATAGCCGAGGTTAACAAATCACGCAAATTTCCATGAACATTACGTTTTTTCCACTGCAGCAAATTGAAGACCTACAGATGTTAAACGAAGCTCGTCAACAAGATTGCGCAGCGCTTCTTACTAAGCTGAACGAAACCCAGGTGAGGAAGACTTAGCAAATAAGTTCGCGGGTCTCTTCTTTAATTCTCTTCATAATAAAATTTGCGCTACATTGACACGCGAGAATTTTGGTCATGCAGAAATCACTAGAGTGCTCTCAACAAACCTTGCATGAGACGACAGAGAATCTGAAGCAGGCTAATTGTGCTATAAGGGAACGTGACTATGTAATTGCGAATCAGAGTGAAACAGAGAAAGCCCTTGTTAGTCGAGCAGGGGAATTGAGAGAGGAGTTGGAGGCTACTGTTCAGGATGTCGCAGGGTTGTTCGCGAAGATAGGTGAAGTCTCTAAATTTCCAATTTGGCCCTCTAGTGCTTCAGTCCAACTCTCTGCAAATGACTAGAGATGCTATCACTACTTTCAGTCTTATGAATCATCACGTTTTTTAGGAACGTGATTGCTCACCTTAGTAAATTGCTTGTTCTGTTTCGTGAACAGAACGAAAGGAGGACCTGGAGCTCAAAAACCAGAAATTGGTGAACGCTTTCCAAAGTGGGCTGACAGAGCACATGAAGGAACTTCGTACTTTGGTGGTAGTAGGTGTAGGTACCCAACAGCAGCAGCTACGGACGCTGGAAGAGCAACTTCATTCCTTTTTAAATTTTAAGGACCAGGTAATTTCCCTCGACTTCAACCACATTTCGCTTCCAAGCTCGATGTATGAGGACTAGAATCACTGTCATTCTCTACTTTTGTGGACCTGCAGGCTGAGGAGGAGCTGAAGAAAAAGCTTCAAGGGTTGAAGGACCTGTACTTGTCCCAGTTGCAGCTGGTCCACACAGCAGTGCTTGAACACGAGGACGTATCCTCCTCGACACTCAAGTCCCTCGATTCCAAAGTGGCTGCTCATCCTAAAGCTCTTGAACAGGTACAATTCCTTAAATGTTGGCTGTTTGATGATTTTGAAGAATGAAAGACGTGATCGCTTTGATACTGCGTTAAAGAAATAGCATGAATCTATGTGGTTGCATTCTGTATTGATAGATCCTCTGATCTCAACAGCTGTTGGTTAGCGCTGTCGCTGATGCGCAAAGCGTGATTCATGACTTGCAAGAGAGCCTCTCCAACCAAAGTCAAGAATTGGCTGAATTCGCACAACATCAACGTCAGGTAAAGGACCTGTAGTGCATTGACAAGCTAATTTTTTGCGCCTTGGAAATGCCAATGTTCTTGCACAGAAAGTCTCCTCAATTCTCTAAATCCAGCTCACTGCCCCTCGCAGGTGGCCCAAAAGTGCCTGCAAGCTGCCAGAGACATAACAAGAACAATTATGGCATCCTTGTCCGCCATAGAAGTCGACACTGCTAATTTCAATGAGTGCATCATTTTTAGCAGCGCAAACCATGATAAAGGGCTCCACGCACTTGCAGAAGCCTATGAGGTTGGTCATCTTTCGTTAATTATTTGTGTATTAGCGCCAATTTGTCACTTGGCATCGCATAGCTTTGCCAATGCGTACCCAATGCAATGTTCTGATAAGTTCCGTGCCAACTCATCTATCCTTCGTGCGCGGAGGGCTTCATTGGAATTCAATTGAGTTTGCAGGTATTATGTGGTTACATTCTGACGAAGTGTTGTTGTGATAAGGAACATGCGAGAAAAGATCACACTCAACTATTGGAAAGCATCACAGCAATGTTGGCGAGTTCCCTGGGAAATCGGACTAATCTTGTAAGTTTTGAAATTTTGTTGAATGTCTAACACAATAACACAAACTAGGGTGATCAGGTTTCACAGTCTCTGGGACATGTAGTTCCTAAGCGTTCTTAGTTGCTATGTTACCTTTATCGTACCGTAATTTCCTACCGAAATGCATCTTGGAACTAGGTTCATACTCGAATTAAAAAGCTTAGGGAGGTTGCTAGTCAACATGCCCATAGGACGAAACATGGACTTGAGAAGATTCAACAGGAAGCTATCACTGCCAACGGAAAACTGAATACCTTCACAGCTACGGCAGGTGCATCCTCCCTTGAAGACGCTACCATGTTTGCCACATCTGTGTCTCGCATGGATGAGATTCTTCAATCAAGGTGCGTAGCACTCGGTCTCCACCTTCGATATAAAATTATTCATGTCAATTTTGTAGCAATTGTGTTACAGGATTATATTCACGTGCTGAGATAAGCGAACTTCTGTATCATGTTTCAGTACCAGCCACACAACGACATCTGGAAGGAAGTGGGAGTCTATTAAAAAAGAAGTAAACCATCTAGTGACGTCCCACACTGCCGCTGCAACTTCAATTCTCAGGTCAGTATTTACTTTCTTCACAATTCTGGGAATCTCTTACATGGCATCTCTTGTGATGACTTAATAGTACATTTACCTGGTACTCATTTGCACAACCGGTTTTCAGAGAGGGATTGGAAGCAAATGCAAATGTTCTCGTCAAACTTCAAGGCCTACAAGATACTGCCCGATTGAAGATTGAAGCACAAAACAACAATACTGTGGCATTTATTAACGGTATGCTCTCTTTATACCTTTTCCTACACAAATTCTATATATGTATATGAAAATTATACGCATGAACATTCACGACGTTTCCCGCTTTCAAGAACAATATGTTCTCCTAACTAGGACAAAAGTGCACCAAGCCTTGTCTCCCATGAATCAACTCAATACGTCTGTTAACATTGCCAAATTGGTACGCTTTAATAGTTTGGCAACTTTGATCAATATTTCAAGCCGCTGTAGTTGTCATGTGATCAATTCCTTATCTTTTTCTTTTTCCGTAAAATTTTAGGTACCTGCACTGGAGAGCACGAAGCAGCATGCAAAATGCAATCAACCATGAAATTACAGGCTGAAGCAGCTGCAGAACTTGAGAGAAGTCATGAGTCAGGATTGTCTGGAGTTCAATTCCAAACTGATCATCACCTGAAGGAAGAATATTTGGTACACTACTGTTCCTGGCTTCCATGTAGTCTTTTTTCATTTGTGCATCAAGAGATCAATATTATATAATTGTATTCTGCATCATGGTTGTGATAGATAGCATATCCAGGCAATGTTTGGTTTTCACTTTCGTCTTTGCTCCATATATTTGATGCATATAAACTCGTCTGGTGAAGGAGGATAAACCTACTTGTTCAACTCCCCGAAAAAGAACAATTCAAGTGCCGACCCCGTCTTCAATTATCGCCTTGTGCACTCCACCGCTTGATATGTTGCTCAAAGAGTTTCGAGCAAAGCACGCCGTCGGTGGACCTGTTAGACTGAGCAAAGTGTTCCAATCGGTAGAGGCCTCCTTCCGAGATTCTCGAACTCCCCTCACCATCATCAATTAGTCCGCATTAGTAGGACCACGTGAGAAAGAGGTGGTACGACCCCCACGCTTTCGAATTAGGTTATATTGACATGTTCTTCATGTAGCTAATCGCTCCCTGTTGCTACCCTTCTCTAACAATCCTCGTGATGGGTTGACAGAATCGCAGCAGCATGAATCCTGAAAAGGAAAACAAGGAAAACAATGGATTCCAGGACTTCACTACGGGAGGCAAATTCTGCAATGTCGCAAAGAGGGGGTTCGAGTATGTAGTTTTTAGCTCATTTCCCTGAGAAATGGTGTCTTGTTGGCACCATAGGTTAGCCTGTATCTTGTATATTAACAGACTCACAACCTAGATGAGTACCAAGTGCAGCCTATTAGGCTGTAAATGCCATTCACCATTGTCTTTTTCCAGGGGCATTCATTTGCCCATAACACTGTTTCAACAGTACAAATTTATCCATGACAGAGTTAATTCCATTTCCAGGGGGGCTATTCCTTCTTTATGACGCAAATCATAATTATGACTTCTAAGGAACTTGTTTAATTGGTTGGGAGAGTGCAGGATCTGCTCATTTCAATCAAGGCTGGCGAACCTTCATACCGCTTCCTCGACACGTGCCGATTCGCAACTAATCGAACGTACAACATTCTTGACTCAAGTATTGCCGGCATTATCCGAATGGACGTTCTATACCCTGGAGCCATGCAAAGTCATCAGCACGTCCCGTCCACTATTTGATGTGTAACTGCCCAGCATCATCATGCTCACAGCCTGAGACAACTTCGTCTTCCAAGCCGAATCCCATGAATTCCAGCTATCCTTTCCTAGTTTCCCCCGTAAATTTACTTTGGTGGTGTTTCCTGTAACAATTGAATCGCCAGGGCCGTAGAACAGTAGACTGCGTTTTAGAGGTTGTAAGCCGCCCTCATAGTCTCTATCCAGTACCCGGTCCAAAATTCCGCTACCCTAAAAGAGCAATTGCCGGCGTGCCAGGATTGCGTTGCGAAATCGTCCTTCTGGGAAATTATCTCTGCTAACGCTCTGAAGGTGTTGCTGCTAGAGCGGTTACTTTGTTTAGTATTGGTCGATTGAGAACTGATCCAATTGTGAAGACATCAGAGATGTTGTTGGAATCTGTGAGTTTAAGATGTTGGAGCTTAAGAACTTATGTGAAGAGGGAGAGAGACGATGCCCGTACACTTTGCTCCATGCCCAACATGTAGAGTCATTTACTCCATCCGTCAATCCATCTCTTATACAGGACCCATGGCGGTCGTATTAGAACATTTCAGCAACTGAAGGAGTGCCATGCGTCCATTCTCATCGATCTTCTCTTCCTTCAAGACACAGCACCTGCGATTGAAAATCATCAGTCATTTTTGTTCCAGAGTAGACGTGTGGAATCAACCTTTGCGAAGCGAGTAGAGAAAGAAAACAGTTCATTCCAAAGCTTACATTAGATAATTCCGAGTTGTGAAGCTGGTGAAACGTCGCCTCTTATCGGATACATCCTCATCAACTTCCTCGTTCACTTCAGAAGTCGCCTATTTTAGCATTGAACGATCGGAGTGGACAAGGCCAGGGGTAGTCCCTCCAACTTCCCAAATCATCCTGTCAGCTTGATGTCCAAATCTCACAAGATGCAACGATGTGCGGTAATGGAAAAGCATAGATTGCAATTCCTGACTCATGTTCATTTGAGTCGAAGTTTGCTGGAACCTTGTGCTTACAGCAGCACACGCCAAGGAGTGAGATGCAGTTTGAACCTCTAGATCACCTGTGCCATACGGGGAATTGCAGAAGTTTGGTTTCATAAACGCCCTTGTGAACCACTACGCCCACCAGCAGCTAGTCGCAACAAATGAAAATGTCCAAGGGCCTCAGCATGGTTAACAGAGCATTCTTACTTCCAGAAATAAGCTGCAGACTTCCAAATTTTGCCCTGTCTGTATCTTGAGATGAACATCTGGGCCAAAATGAGGAGGACGTGTTTCTCATCCACCTTCATTCGTATATTCGCCGGTAAGCGGGGGTGTGGGTTTGCTCAGTTCCTCCACAGCAGCCCTAGCAACTGCAAGTCGTTCGGTTCCTTTGTACACAAATCCGACAGTGAGGCTATGACGGATGCGCGCTGAAACTTGAGGGTGTGAGCAATGAACTTGCATTCGATAATTGGTAGAAGGATTAGAATGCCTAGTCAAACTAAAGGCACCCTCACGAAGTTGATGTTTCTACCCAGATGCCTTAAGCCCTAAAACTAGCAGTGTGCGGACTTCAATATTTGCTCACGGTGTATGCGACACATTGTTCGTGTTCCAGAAGTGCAGACAGATTTTTAAAAAGCTAGGATGGACATCGGGAAATGTAGAGTAAGGGAAGTGTGGAGCTGGGGAGCTGGGACGCACGGGCAACTGGCATGCGGCACTCTGATCGATGCCTTGACGCCGCAGCGTGTTGAAGCTCTCTCCGATGCTGCACTCATCGTGGACATAGCTTGTGGAGGAGCTCATGGTATCGCTGTCTTCGGTACAGCTCCTGCTTTAGTATCTTGTTTTCGAATTTCAATGCTTTCGATCTTTGTCGCGTGTTCACCTAGTGATAGGCTCTACATTTTCCATAGCTGGCAGCGTATGATTTGGAATGTCTCTATGTTAAATCATGCACAATTTTGAAGGATTATCTAATCCTACACTCTATATCATTCTCTTCTTAAAAATTGCTTCAATGTCGATTCCTAAACTTTGCTTCACGTATAATTTTCTGATAGTGCAAATTGTCTACGACTAGACTTCAGAACAGAGAAGTTGGTGTCCCTTATATCTCTGACACTGATTCTTCGACTATTAGCCGTAAACATTCTCGATTCAGTTGTACCCATAAACTAGTTCAGCTCAAATTCTGATTAAAGTCTTGTACACCCTTGTTATCTGCAATAGTAGTGTAAGAAATTTAATTATTCTTCGCCTTGTACTTGAGACTATTTGTTTTTGACACTGTGGACTCCCTCACGCTGCCGTAACTTGATCATTCTCATTAACTTTACGATTCTTGTAAGAGTCCTTATGCATGTCCAGTGTTTCTTAGATTTGTGCACCTGGCATGGGTATTGTAACAGCAGCTTAAGTCTTGCACCTGCGATGGTTGTGCTAGAATGTGGTGACGTTGCAACTTGGGGCCGAGGCCAAGCAGGGGCTTTGGGACATGGAGATGAGACAACCATCACTGTGCCAAGGTTCATCTCTTCACTTCAGGGCATACGCATCAGCCATGCAGCTGCTGGCTGGAATCACAGCGCCTTTGTAACAGGTGTGTCTCAATCTTTTCTTGTTTCTCAACCGGATTTTAGACTGATTTTTAGCCATGACGTATTTGTAGCAAATAGTCGGCACGCTCACTTTAGATATCCCAAAGGCTCCTTAATAAATGCATCATTTTGGGCTTCTATGGGATCGAGTGGATGCTTGTTAAGGACGTTATTGATCTTTTCGTTCTAAATCTTTCTCAGTTTCAAACTTAATTTCTCCTGGGCAATCTGATTGAGTGTTTGTATGTCGTGTACACTTAAGTTGGTAGGTTATGTGCAATGTAGACAATGGAGCGCTTTATACTTGCGGGGATGGGACGTTTGGGCAGCTAGGGCATGGACACACAGAATCTCGCCTGGTGCCTGGTCGCGTTGAGCACCTGTCATCTGAGCGTATCAACATGGTGGCATGCGGTATGCGGCACACGCTCGCTCTTGCCGTCACCCAAGGTATGCTATCAATTCCTTATCATTATCTTCTTAATCATGGCTGATGTCTATAGTAAATTCTTTTCTCTTCCATCATGTATCTTTGCCTAAATAGCAGTTTTGAGGTGCATTTTGATTTTGGAATGCCGAACCTTGTTCAGAAATGATCAAGTCACAAAACACTCAATAACAACGCAGTTAACAGTGTGATAATGCGATTGACCAATTGGCTCCTGACTACTCTTGCACAGTTCTTCTACCTGAATGTGCTAGTGGAGCTCAGAATTATTAGTCGGAAAATCATTCTCTGATTGCTCGATTATTAGGTTCCGTATGCACTTCAATTGTGTATGCTTTCGGGTTCAACAAGCGGGGACAGCTTGGGATCCAAATGAAAACAAATGGTAGTGAGAGCAAAAACAAGTGGTGTTTTTCTTGCCCTCAGAGGGTGGACTCTCTCGACATGCATGGGGTTGTGAGTGTTTCTGCAAATGGAGACCACAGCGCTGCACTCACCCGTGAGTTGAACCTATCTGTATCACTAATGTTAAGATTAGTTTCTGATAATGAAATGTTAAGCACTGATGTGATGTGCAACTGTGCTTTTCTTTGGTGTGGAATTAAATGGAAACTAATGATCTTATTTTTACTTGCCAGCATAATAGTTGGAACTATGTGTGGTGTAGTAATCAAACTGGTTTTGTATTCTCCTATCATAAGTGTAGGCTAGAGTAATGCCTAATGATGATTGTGCATGACCTTTTTTGTCTAATTTTTTCAGAGTTCAGTTCCTACTCACTTACATGTGTCTTTCCAAATCGCACTTGCGTGGCTGCATTTTTGTGAAAAATTGCAGGAATGGGAGATCTTTTCTTATGGGGTAGGGGTTATAATGATGGCCCTGACTCGCAACAGCCTCATCTTTCACATTCAGGTCTGAAATTGATCCAAGTGTCACTTGGATGGCGCCATGGTCTTGCTCTGGCAGGTAACTCATTTCACACATACACAAGACGCTCAGAAAGTGGAACTTGGTGATGTAATGTTAGGATTTGGACTCCACTAGTGTGTAAAAAAAGCATTTTCTCAAGAAATCACGTTGTTGCGATTGTACAGAAAACAAGGTAGTCTTCGCCTGGGGCAATAATGTCTGTGGACAGTTGGGGATCTCACGCGTTTCCAACAATTCTGAAAGGAGGGCGCAAGAGGTGAATGTCGCTCACAAATCAATCGAGCAATATACGAGGGAACGGGAGGGGAAAGACGGTGCAGCTGAGAAATCGCAAAGACAAATTTCTGGTGTGGATTTTCAGAAAGTGGAAACACAGGGAATGAGAGTTTCGTGGATCTCAGCTGGGTCAGAGCACTCTGCTGCAGTTCTTGGTACGTTCCCAGCATGCACAGACTACTAGTTGCATCTTCGTACTTCTGGGTCTACTTGTTATAAGGTGTTTACTTGTTTTGTGTCAATCCGACGTGAATGTTTGGTGGGGTTATGGGGTTTGTTTCATTTGATTGCAGAGGATGGAAGGATTATGATGTGGGGTTGGGCTGAGCACGGCCAGCTTGGTCTAGGCTCACTTGAAGATCAGGAGGTTCCTCATATGGTAACACTTGCAAGCACGAGGCTTTCTTCGGGCTTTTTTAGTGCGACACATGACCAACATGCTAGTGCTAACTACGTGAAAACGAAGGTTTATTGTGGAAGTGGATATACTTTTGTCGTGTCCTGAGCAGGCCATATACAAATGAAAATTGTGAACACTCGTGAAGGCGCAATCGGCGCTTGCAATAACAAGAATAAAGACCATCATATCCATTCTCCAACGACCGTTAGCACCACTCCCATTACGTTTGCGAACCATGTCTTGAAAACTTAGATGAGATTACTCATTAAGTCTTTTACTCGCCACCGTGTTCACGTAAAGCTTCAAGATTTGTGAGACCAGAAGTAAAATGTTAAACGCTTTTCACTCTATTTTTTTTTCACATCCATTACTTCACGAATGACATGATCTAAGGGCAATTTGATACGAGCACAGAGATATGAAATATATCATATCAATCACCTGATGTATTTTCAGTTTAAAAAGGCGCCTAGAACAGTGACGAAATTAGTGCCCGAATTAACACGCTGTAACCACCGAGACTGTAGATTAGAATCCAAAAGTTTTACTTATACAAAAGTCTAAAGAAGAAAAAACAGGACGATGAGAAAATTACCAATGCTAGGATAATGGATACTTACGCCTTCAACCTGAACTTAAATGAAATTCTGCAATTGCTAATACTTGGCCGGCGGGCAGTAATCTATAGATTCACAAAGTTTGCGTGATATTCCCTGCGCTAGTTACGGTGCTTAAATAAATACCTTCATAGCTACAATGAGTAGAACTGAGAATCATTTATGTCGATGTTTACAGTTAAGATGTGCAAGCTACTCAAATATAATTTAATGCTAAACCCAAAAGTGTCGATATGACAAGAATACACCTGCATGTTGCGACTCCTCCTTCCTTGTAGTGACAATTAATAATACCATTACGATGAGTACCGCTGCATGTGACGTTAGCCACTTGGTTCAAGAGCCCTGTATCTCAGAGCTCAGAAGTTCTTGCATTCTCCTGAGGTTACTGCATCTGCTGCTGCTGTTGCTGCTGCTGCTCCGGCGCGAAAGCAGCCTGGAAGAACAGCAACGGCAAAAATTAAACCAAAAACTGACATACAAAAGAAATGGAATTGGGACGGATCTTTAATCCGTTCGAATCTCAGAAAGAGATAAAAATGTATTTGATCATTAAACATGATACTGCAAGACAGGTGATGCAAGACATAAAAACAGCCATACTAAATATATGTATTCATCCAATAATTTCTCAGATGTGAAGTGAAGTGCACAGCCAAGTTGAAGAAGCTGAGAGCTAGGTATGCTAGTAGCCTCAAAAGCAGGGAAAATGAAAAGGGGGTTTCGAAGCCAGCAATTACCGGTGGTGGCTGATACATCATTTGTGGGTTTGGTGGCATGCCTGGCTGGCCGACCATCATCTCCTGCACAGTTGACAACTGTGATCAGCCTTCCTAGACTTCACTGCGAGGCACAGCATACGTCCTAAGATGTAACCAATGAATAAGACACAAAATATAGTCACACTTTTAGAACACTACACAGCGGTAATTGCACCAATTATAAGTTGCCATGTATGGTCATTCATAGGTCAATCATATAGTTCAGACCAGAGTAGCCCACAAAAGTTGGAAAGGTTTGATATGGAATTTACAGGGGCTCCCATAGGATGATGCATTGGCTGCCCGGGCATGGGAGGGTAGTACATTCCTCCATATTGCACCCCCTCAGCTGGAATCCCTGGAACTCCAGACCATGGAACACCCAAGTCTTCTTCCTGCAACACAAGTACAGAATACAAGGTTCTTGAAGCAAATCGAGGACATACTAACAGAGTGCATCAAGATGACCAAGTGGTCTCACCATAATCAGAGGACAAACAAAACAAAAAATAAATAAAAGCCGACATAAATAAATTATAAAAATATTATATGAATAGTTGAGATAACAGAAAAGAAAATGAACCACAAGATCAATGTCGAACACATAGAACAGGTATCTAGAAGACTTCGTTCTCAGGAGTGTACCTTTAACTCGTCACGTGGAACAATGTCTACAAGGAAGTCAAAAATGTCGCCTCTAGTGATAGCGCCAGCAATATCATTTCTTTGAAGTGTTCGTCTTTTATTCTCTTCAGTGTGAATCCAAGAACGAAGCGTCAATTCCAAGATAAACATCTCGCAAGCTTTAGAAAATAGCACCGGAGCTTCTGCTGCGATCATCTGTTTTAGAAACATGATCCACATACCAGCAATATGATTAAACAAAAGTATTTCAATGCGAATGTGTCTTTAGACTTCAGCAAACGCTAGTCGACACCCTAATCCATCCCAAATTCACTCACTGCACATGAAACTTCCATCCCAGTAAGACAAGCCAAGTCTAATGTTCATAAAACTAAATAAGTGAGACAGAATTTCTGATTAAAATATAAAAGAGGAAGTAGGGCAAAGAAGTACCAACCTTAACATCTTCATCGGACTTCATGATCTTCTTTATGCGCGCGAGTGGCAGCTGGTGAGTTTTAAAATCTGACAGATTTACTAAAGTAAGTGTCCCAAAAATAGAAACGTACATTAAATCCAACTATAGGAAATAGACTCAAAAACACGAAAGAGATTTCTGTACAACTTTCCATCGAGTTTTTCCAAGGCAGTTTAAAAAAAATTAAAAAGTATGCGCAGCACGATAACTCTTACTTGACCGTCTGCAGCCCTCAATCACAAATACATACCAACACATCCAAATAGACCCCTTTGAAACTGGCGCAGCTCAACTGACAGTCAGGTTACCAGATGAAATACGCTACACTTTTATGCACTTTTATGAGCTATTACAGACTCTCGTCTGCCTTCATTCAATTGAGATAATCCTTACGGGATTGATTACCTCGTGCATTTCCAAGATTGAAGTTCATGCAGGAGTATGAACGTACCATTGACTTGCTCCATCTCCTGCATTTGCTGGGCCCAGAACTGGGACAGCTGCTGCTTCTGAATTTGCTGATAATGGAGCTGCGTCTGTATATTCACTTCCCAGTAATGTGAAAATAAATTCTGGTGATATGGTAAGAACAATCAACTACTCTAAAATTTTAAAAGCGACACGAGTAATGCATTGAAAAGCATCTCCGCATGATCAACAATCTTCTAAAACAACGACATGACAATCTAGACAGGTACATTACCTCCAGATAAACACCTTTTACTCAAAAACACTCGAAGAGTTATCAACCCAACTAACCATTTTTTCATTCTCCACACAAAAAGAGACACTTCCAACAAAAAAATCTTCTGGAAGAAATACATTGGTTTGCTACACCCACTACTCTGAAAAGTCATGTTCACAGACACTTCACTCCAAAAATTCAAACTGAATGTTCGGTTGAAAACACTGCTTCAAACAAAATGCATTGAAAAACCCAGCTTTGGTTTCCACTCTGACCACTGCAGATCTTGAAATCAATCTCTAAACGTGGAAAATGTCATCCTTGTACTAACCCTAATCAAATGGGTCCTCAAAATCACCGATTTCTTGACGTACGGACAAACCCCAAAAAAAGCCCATCAACATGCAAACCTTCGAAAACACCAACTCTAAGGTAAACCCATCGTAAGTATGCCACAGTCGACAACTCAAAAATCTTCATCCATTTCTTTCACGCACCCAACCACTGGATTGGCATCTCCGCCGTCAGCACAACCTCTATCCAACGGTGGGGCAAGACGACCCACACGCCAAACCACACATCTTGTACTCCTCGTCAGCCATAATCAAACCCAGGGCAACGACAAGACGATCACTCACAGCATAAGCAACCAACTGAATGCGCGGGTCCAATCAAACCAAAACCAAACCCTGTTCATCCACCCAAGCTCGCCCCCTCACACAGACGATCGTCCAATAACATCAAACAACTCGGTAAGGCATGCCAACCTAGACCAGCCAAGCCAAGCGAAACGAAGCCCAACCCAACCAGGCAATGACTGTAGTGTACCAACACCGACAGGGACGCCCACAACGAGTGCGTCCACACAATTGCGGGTGTGCCACAGAGGGGCACCAACAACGTCTTTCAAAACCATGTCATGTCTCGAATCCACAACGAAATGAGGGAAGGAGGGGGGCGGTAAGGGGGAGTGTGGAGTGGAGCGCAGGGAGGAATCATTGCATCCAAAACGAAACGCAGACGCTGATTTTGAGTTGTGTGGAATTCGTACCTGCTGCTGGCCTTGAGCCTGATAGTGCATCTGCAAGGGCATGACTGGCCCCGGGTGCGGCGCCATCTGGGGCGCGGACGAGGGCGGCATGTGGGGATGCTGGATGGCCATTTGTTGGCAATGGCGCTCGCTGGCTGGCAGGACTCGGGACTTTCAATCCGCCGCGAACACGAAACACTTCTGCCTGTGCAAGTGCGCGACTTGATGCCAAATCCCGCCACACATTGTCGACGTCCTTGTTCGCGTCCACCCCCCGCCCTCCCTCACTGCCTCCGCTGCCTCCTCGTCGCGGCCCGCGCCGCCTATCCCCGCCCCACCCCGCCCGGCCCGGCCCGGCCCGGCCTGGCCCACCCGTGCGCCATGTGTGCATGTGCATGTGGGTATAGGGGGTCTCCGTGCTCATGCGTGCCTCTTCACGGTGAGCTCCCACGGCGAAGGGCACGGTTACTTTTGACTTTTACGATCCCAGGCCTCGTTCACACTGCACTTCATTCTCGCCCTCCCGTACAAGTTAGTCTTCATTGGCAAATGGTCATATCTTATTATAATTAAAATAATATTGAGAATGAAATGATATTCTACATTCCTCACAATTTCCAGTAGGCACACCAACATTCTAGAATTTCAACGTAAATTCAAACTCAATACCCACCCACTAACAATGCAAAGCCCATAAACACACCGCCAAAACAAATCTTTCCACATATCTTGAATCTTATATTCCACAAGAGGTTGGCACACAATTCCAAAGTCTATTTCCAAAGTAGGTGTAGGTAATGAAAACTCTTCCTCATTTCCATGAAATAGCCCCCATGAGGCACATTAAGGAGGAAACTTCAAGGCAATGCACTGGTTGCATTCACGAAATTAATGCAGCCCAGATGAAGTCTCTCAGCCACAAAAATATGACTGGCCCAGGAGCTGCAGCCACGGAGGATTGCCACGTCAGATTTAGGACCCCAGATGCCACGTGGAGGGATGGACAGGAGCTGTGGATGAGTACATACAAATGGACGGATGAACGAAGCTCACAAGCAGAGAGACAGTTTCCATCTACCGACAAAAGGCGGCCGATCTCGATGCCATGCTCCCAAGCTGCCCAGAACTTGTTTGATAATTAGATATACGTCAGGAGAAACAAATCCTTACACTTAAGACATGTATTTGTTGTAAAACACGTAACTTCTCTATTCTTATAACAGTAAATAATAATAATAATAATAATAATACGAAGAGTTTCAGTTCAAAGTTAAGATGTGCAATTAAAATGCGTTGGAAAATATCATGCATCTCATGTGACATTGTATTAGATACAAATGTAAAGTGAACTTGTTGTGAAGCAAACCTTCGCTGTATCGATCAAAAAGTGATTACACGGCAAAAAAAAAAAAAAAAAAAAAAAAAAAAACGACAGCAGTAAATTGGGTAGAGAGTATTGCGTGATAAGTACACTGAACATCACATCCGGGCTTGTTCCAGCTGACCAACTAAACATCAAACCCGAGCGCACGACACAAAAATTTCGGTCCTATAACCTAATTATCTACCCGAGGATCAATGCACGATATGGAATTTATCGAGTATAGAACACATAAGAATGCAGACGACTCTAATTTAAACGTATGACCACTTACTTATCAAAGACCAATCCTTCCCGAAAATTGCATGACTAACCACAAAAGACCGCCTCCTGGAATGTCCAGCGCCTAAGGATCAGAATTAAAACTGTCATTCCAACTCTTATCCAGCCAAGTTCACGGTCAGCGATACGTATGGATGCACCTGCGAATCTCCACCAGCAAGTCCCATCATCCCTGCATCATCCTCCGCCTTCCAAAACGAACTGCCACAAACAAAACACACAAAACACAGCCCTCCCTTCAGCTCGCCATTCCCCTGTTCCTTGCATCTCCTGCCTAGCATGCGATCGATTCCGCCTCCAACGCAACCAATCAGCCAAAAACTCTCCGCGACCATTCCTACAATCTCTGTTTGCAATGCAGTCACCAACTGTGACATCATCCTCCTCGTCATCTCACTCTGGGTGTCGGCATTCTGAGCTGAACACAAAGCCCCTCAAACCACCCATTCCTCCAGCTCCCATAATACATACATGTCTATCCATCTCTCAATTTACCCTTCTCATGAGAGCCCACGACGTGGACCTGTTTGCCCCGCTAGACAGCTTCTCACACACTCCACGAACTTTCTTTTCCGCCTTTGCGCTCGGAGCCAAAACAGCGGCCTGAACCACAGCACACTGTGCAGTCAGAACCACCCCCAACGCTGCGCAGCACCATGGTCATGCAAGTTCACTTCGCTCGAACGAAGCTGTCGAATCCACTCGCTCCGTTGGACAGGGAATGCTCATCAGGAGCTTCGGCGGAAGCCCATATCTCAAGATGCTTTCCGTGAACATTCTGATAGCACACAAGTGCATCTACTCGCTGAAAACCTGTTCACCACCACACGAAACATCACTCGTCACCATCCGCCAAACATGCAATTTCACCCAAACCAGCGAATCTCCCTTCACAACACAGGGATGCACGCCCCAAATGCATCTGTTTCCTACTGCTTGCCTCGCCTTCAATAGCATAGCACCACTATTGAAGAGATTGGCGGAGCTCGTCTTGGGCATGCGCTCGCTGTGCATCAATGTGATGTGATGTGATGTGATGTGTGGGTGATAAAGGTTCCACGGTCTTCGAAGAACCTGACAGAGGACAACGAGAATGCTCTGTTTACGGTGACGTTCTTCCGAAAGGTGGCGGACAACTTCAGGACCGCTGCAAGGGAGAGGGTTTTCTGGTGAGCGATTTGTAAAACAGAAGCTGGCGATGGTGAGAGCGGAAACCGTGAACGCGTCGATGTTGTATCCGGGTGTATAATTGGCTGGTCGACGGTGGGGCAAGTTCGGGAGTTCGAGTTGGATCCGGAAAGAACCGCACTGCCGTGCTGTTCATCGTCACCGTCAGTTTCAAACTGCAACACCATTCTGACAAGCACCCCACTCCAGCGCTGCATCACAAATCACTTCCAGCTCCAAATTTGGGGAACCCACACACTTTTGAATTACACACCCCCCTGCAATTCGAAACCCACACCCACACACGCACCTGCCTCTCTGCTTCCGCAACATGGTCGTCATTTACGTCTTCACATTAATGTACTCCGAAACCCTAATCTATGCGCGCACACACCACCGCTGTAAGCGGGAGTGTTCATCCCCTACTTGCAACCAAAGCTCTGCCCACCAAACACGAGAAAACGGCGTCCCCTACGATACGCATCCTCACGCTGGATTGCAAATGCCGTCACCGATCAACGTCCACTTCACATTGGCCGAACCGAAAGGACGTGCCCATCAACCTCTACCATGCCGCTGTCGCAACAACCTGCCGATTCCAACCAAGGACCCCACTGGACATGCTCAATAAAACCCCAAAATTCGGCACCTTCAGATCATCCTCCAGCTTCGACACGCCCTCCTGAATCGTGTCCACCACCTCTCTCAACGGTGTCATGGTTGAATACTTCGCCGCGTCCCAGTCGAACCTGCACATCATCAGGGCAAGGCCTCGTCAGACATCGTCCCTGCCACGCCCATGTCTTCCTACTCAACTTCATGCACTCAATCTGCGCCACCCGAACTCCAATGGCTCCGGCACCTGGTGATGTAAGAGTCCAGGGGAACTCCAGTCACAAAGAGAGCGCTGCTGCTGTCGGCATCGAATGCCCCCTCCAAGTCGTCTGTTTGCCTCTGAATCTAGTGCAACATCGACTCCATCACTTGATTGGCCTGCAATCGGAGCGTACACGTACAGCGACTACCTCCGTTTCAATCACAACACCACTTGAGAATGGCTACAACTCATTTCCACCAGTCCAAAACGATCGCTATACTTCTAATGCACTTGGATCTCCTAGCCCTGGCGTGGCACTTGGCTTGCACCACTTCATTACCGCACATCTAATTCGCTGTGTTTCTGGATGATAATCGTTTGCTATCCCCATGCTCAGCCTGAGAATCAAAATTCAGAAAAACAAAATGTGCACAAGTGCGAGCTCAACGGTGTTCATCCCCAAACAACCCAATCCGATTGGCACTCGTTCAAAGCACTTCGCTAACATCCACTACGATACTCACAAATCAGGTCAACCGCTGCAACGCTCTCCCAGAACATCATGCTACTCGTCATCATACAAGACCTACTGACATCAACTAAGGGAGCCACCACAACACGTCACAACATTACTCACATCACTCGATCGCCTGGCGCGTGCGACCCGCACTCTCCAAGGCCAGTCCGGAAGTCATACGCAGTTCAATCGGGTCCTACGCATTCATTCCCACCATTCAAATCACTCAGCTGCCCCCAGCTCGTCAAGGAACCTTGGTCAGATCGTCGCTCATCGTCAGCAGAGAGTCCAGCGTCCCTACTCGAAGCTCTGGAATGTGGAACTTCTCCCACCACCCAACCACTCACAATCAGTGACTCACTCCGCACCATCCAAGGCAAAGCAAAGCTTTGTAAACAACCGGCATCCGCGAATCCAACACCGCGGGACATACCATCCAGCACGCCACACCTAGCAGCTACCAGATTAACCCCAAGTGTGTGTGAACCTCATCCGGATGCGCAACCTTGTACGTGGAAGTGTCGAACACAGCTCTGGAGACGCTGCTGCACGGACTGTCCCATGTCTGGCTCGCCGTCCCCTGCAGTGGCACCAACACCAACACATACTTGTTCGCTGCCATCGCCGCCACCCCTGCACTTGCTAGGGGTTGTGGATACGAAACTGAAGTGTGTGTGCAGTCTGACAGAGTTGTGGAGCTCCAGCTTGCGAGCAGGACGTCCAGGGCATTCTTGTGTAGAGTAGAGTGAGGCAAGTCTCTTGCTTTCCTGCGCGAGTGCAGCTCTCGCCACGTTCGACACTTTATACTGTGGGATTTGTGATTCGCGATTACTCGGACTTCGTAAACTAGTTTAAAGAAAGTACTCTAGGTAAGCGTTGTTTTTCTTTTAACTGATGTCAAATCTTGCTTTCCGATCTTTGTCCGGGGTCCCAGTGCTATCAGTCTTATCCATGAACAACATGTTTTCATGTAACTCGCTGACTTTTTTGAGGTACTAAGAAAGCAGAAGAATTTCGTTTTAGTACCTGACATGTTCGCGTTAAGCTGTCAGCTCGTTTGAGTAGTGAGGGGACGGTGCATGCCGATTTTTGTCCCACATCATTTTGCACTCATTAAAAGCCTTAGGTCCCAAGATCAAGCACTAGGGTGCGATGCTGTGCCATCGTAGTTTCCATATTGTCGAGGTTTTAAAACAGGAAGCCTCGAAGCATCTCAAGCAGCTCGAGTTTTGTTCAAGTGGGTGTCTTCGTTGTCCACAGCTTTGATACAGTTCACACATTGTGTGGTCATCAGTCTTAAGACCCTCCGATTTAAATTTAGAAATTGACACACCGGTTTGCAGGACAAGGCCCGAATGTTTCCAAATAGAAGTTCTCCTGATGCCATGCACAAGAGAATGAAACATGATGTGCTGACACAAAACAGGAAGATCCATGTATGAAAAGCAGTTAAAATGGAACTGAGAATTGCATGAGAAGGGCTGCGAGCCTGGTTTCTCATCTGTGAATCTCATTCTTTCCCTCAAGACTTTGTAGAAAGTAAGACTGCTTTCTAAGGAAGTGAGCTTGCAGCCATTCGTAGCATTTTGAAGGAATCTCACACGCGGTTGAATAGATGGAGATGATGAAGGCAGTAACAAACGATCGACACAGAAATCTGCTTGCTACAGCTAAAAATTAGTCTCATATGGAAATGTACAAGTATACTCCGCGAGTCACTTAGCTTATTCTCTTTAAGTCTTCGATCATGAATGAGCACAAGTCTAGCCTCTAATGTCTAACCAGACAGGACAGCTCGATTCACGTCGGGAAGATCAACTCTATGTTGTCCGTATATATAGCTAAGATAGTGGAACCAAGTGGGGGTCGATCTGGGGTTGAAACTGTAGAGCTAAAACAATCAATAGAGAAGATTAATAATCTACGTCCAACAAAAATTGTGTAGAATCAGTGATGTGATTCACCCCCGACCAACGCAGCTCTTGGGGACAAAGCCTATCTTGCGACCGACTGTGTCGTAGTAGACTTGGAAGTTTTGTTGCTGGATACTTCCGATGATGGTCACGTCAGGGGAAGACACCATGGAGAAGCAGTAGGACTGGCTGCTTTCAAGGAAGATGAAGTAGTTGGAAGGCGGCAACTCCATGTCGCCCCCTTCGAAGTGGAAGGTCATAGATGGAACAGTCGGTAGCTGGCCCTCTGCAAATCCCCCTAAGCAGAGGTCAAGGCCCGAGGAGTCGTCTGACTTGCGCGGATAGTCCATGGTGGAGGCGTTCATGGCAGCCAGAACCTCCTGATGCACCTCACCAGCTAATTGTGTCACCGTCGTGCCGGAATCGAAGATGGTTCCTGCCCTGCCGACTGAGTCGATATCGAAAGCGGTGGAGGAAATGTTGAGCAACTTTCCACCCACACTAATCCCGTTCAGCTTCACATAGTAGTATGTGGGGACCTTGGGATTTGTGAGGAGGGATATGTATTTTACGCCTGGAAAAGTAGGCACGGCTGCATCACCAAAGAGCAGGGGGCTAGTTTGCGTTGGTGGCGCCAACCAATCCACAAGACAGTAAGAAAATTTGCCATTGAAGACCGTTTTGAGCTGCGAAGGAAATGACAAAGGACCTTGGCCCAGGCCCAAGATTCCATCCGCTCCTGCAAATGACCCCTCATTGTCGTGCCCACACCCGAATGCAAAATTGGGTACCTACACCACATCACTCTCTCATTAGTTTCGACCTGCTCATGTTGGCGCTGCATCAGATTCGACTATGGTAAAGACGGTGGTTCACTACATTTGGCACTCAACACACCAACCTGTTGCTTTTGACCATTGATGCCGTCCATGGTGATGGTGTCATATACAAAGTCTCCGGTTGATAATGACCCATCGCCGTAAGAGTACCAATAGACGCATGTTGTCTGGTTGCACATGGGATACGGGAGGCCGTTGCACAGTTCTGTGCCGCAAGCAAGCTGCCAAATCGATGCAATTTCAGTGATGCTCATTTTATCAGACTTCAAAACCGACTCCACAAGACAATGACGTTGCGTGCTGCATTAAGAAAGGTCTGCGCAGACTGTTTGATGATTTACCTTGGTGAATGATGTAGACGTGTTGGGAATAAACAGTGAATCGTTCTGCGAGTAACATGTTCCACAAGGAGAACACTGAACCCATGTTAGGTCACTACCTGTGTCGACAATGACGGAAAAGACACGCTCGGGGGTACCTAATCTCACTGTTGCCAAGTACTCCCCCCTTGCTGCCGCTACTGTTGCTGTAAACCCTCCTGCACAACAGAATAATATATCACCTCAGCCACGATGGCAGCAGTTGGTTGTGTGAACATGTGTCACTTAATGGGCTAAACGCCAAGCCGATCGTTAGAATTAAGCTACTCACCACTTTTCCCTCACGGATATGTCTAGTTATTATTATTCAGGACCATAACTTGCAATCAACTCATGTGTGGTTGTGAATCCTATCTGTAGTACTGCAAAGAAAGCTTCATGCAGGTTGGGAGATGTCTAGAGTATGGTGATCAGAACCTGCGCTTGTGCCACCAGGAAGGTTGTCTCCAGCTTTGGTCCCTTTGCTGCCATGAGCATGGAGTTTCTTTCCCACTTCTCGGGCCCTCAAGGAACTTCTATGGACGGCGCATCGGAGTTTATGATGGTCCCTAGGACGACCATCTTCAACCTTTTGTAGCCCACAGGGTGACTCAATCCTCTGCATCTCCACTCGTACGCCATGGCTATGGCCTTGATTAGCGTGAAGATCGACGTGCAAGAGCGCGCGCCTCACAGTTCGGGTGTCCAGTGTGAAGGTTCCACTCTGCTGACTCGATTGAAGCTTGTCGACAATGAATGGCGGTGTCTGATCCGTCGCACGAGTAGACAACGTAGCTGCAAGACAGTCGGAGGTTCTGGGAAGAGCTGCCAAGCAATAAATCGTGGAAACGAAAATGGCTGCTGCTCGCTCCGTGCACCTGCAGCACGTGGCCATGAGATTCACAACACAACATGAATCGCTGAAAGATACTAATCTCTTTAAATCACTCGACCACATTTCCAGATGTTAAGTTCTATTCTAGCACTTCTGTACGCTTCATCAATGAACATTCTAAATTAACAGACACACACACCTGCCACTCTTCTTTCGCAACATTGTTGTCAACTGTGTCTTCACATCCACGTATTCCGAAACCCTTATCTGCACAGCTAAACCTGTTACAGAAAATGACTACTTCTCGCAGCTACCACTTCTGCTACAACTCGCGCGCTACAATCTTCGTGTACTCATTCGCTTCCCAAGACCGATTGCCGAAGTACCTCGTAATGTAAGAGACGATGAGAATTCCAGCTACGAGTGAAGCCATGTCATGCTGCAAGTCGTCTATTGACCTCAGACGCACCTTGAGCATCTCTGTCGCGATCACTCGGTTGGCCTGTCATAGAAACGTACAAACAATGCATGTACATTCATAGCAGCACACTGCTGCGAGCGGTGGCCAGCAATTTTCACACTCTCTCGCTACGGAATAATAAGGCTCAATTGCTGTTATGAAATCTCCTAATGCAGCACGACAGTAGGCCTCCGAACGCGACGACTCCGCCACTATTTGGGCGTAAACACACGCTTGCTGAGCTTCCTCAGTTGACCTCAAGAAGTCAACTACATCGTTCCTCCGATCTCCAGACTCAGGGACTCGCTGCGACGATCTGTGACGACTGAAATGTATACCGGAGGATACTGAGGAGCATGTAGACCACGAGTCTGCACAAAGGGTTGGAGATAGAAGAGCTGGCGACTCCAATCCATGCATGGAATTCGTTACCAAATCGCGCACATCTATAGAGCAATTTCTGATAAAAAAGTGCTAGGGTCTTCCGGTCAGAGGAAGCTGCAGAAAGTTTCACCTCCAGCCCTGATCCTGGCGCGGCCTGCTGGTTATTCACGGTACAGCTTGCACTTTTGCTCCTGGCTGTGTGACAAAGAAGAGAAGCAGTACAGGGTGTATGATGAAAGCGACCCAAGCCCCACCCTAGCCAAGGCTACAGGAAAGTTGGGGCACTCGAATCACCAGACGCCGAATCAGCCAAGGAGGTGCTGCCATTCAACAGAATCCGATATACTCTGATCACGTCGAGATGCTTGGATGGACTACTGCAGCAGAGCCAAGCTTATGGCCATGGCGACCCGGCCCCCTACTCAAGGCATACCCAAAAAAACAAAAAAGGGCTAACAACGAGGATACTCAGCAGTATCACAGCTATGGCGTTGCGACGGCTGCTGCATGTCACTCCACCGAGGTGCAGCAGATTCGGAGTGTCAGCGCAGTATTGGACCGTCCGCGCCTGCATCTCCAGGAATCACCACCTATCCCATCCCACCCCCTGCAATGCAATGCAATGCATCCCCCGCCACTGCTCAGTCTCTGTGCCAGTGCCACCAAGGACAAAACGTATTCGCCTCCCCCGAGCATGCAGAAACGAAGCGAAGCTACGAGGGCCACGATTCCACCTCATTTGCTCACTCTCTCTCGCCCCTTCTCTCGCGTCGCCACCCCCCAACCACACTCACTCACTACTCGCTACTCAACGGCGCGGCTGCCCTGCTCCCTTCGCCGTCACTCCCTCGCACCGTCGCCGTTGTCGTCTCTGTCCAGGCACCGCGGCGATGATGCGAACCCAAATCGCGGCAACCACATCCAGTCTTGAGTATGGATCCTGTGCTACTAGACTCATTTTTAAGAGGATAATGAATGAGTGAATAATAGAAGAATATTATTTAACTACTCCTGATCGACTTTCAGAAGTCGATTATGAGGATAATGAATGAGTGAACGAAAGAAGAATATGATTTAACTACTCCTGATCGGCTTTCGGAAGTCGATTAGCTGTTAAATTTGTAGGGAAATGTTAAATTGACCTAGGCATTTATTAAATTCACCCACTCATCATCATTGGTTAAGGATCCAACCATATTGTCATGGGTTTTCGACTAATGTGGATCTAGCACTAAAGAATTTTTTGATGATGGTTAGGATGGGTGGGTCGATTTAATAATTTTCTATTTTATTTATTTACTCAATGAAACATAAAGAGCATATCTTTTTGCTAATCAATGGAAATTAGGTACATAAAGTAAGCCTTGGTTGAGGCAATGGATTAGGATGTCTATTCTAACCTTTGGAGGAAGGAGGGATATATGTAGGTGATTGAGTTACATACATTCATAATTACTAGTTTTTATTTTTTGACATATGCATGTGTAAATTCTTTGATGTATTTTAAGTCATTGACATGCATTTCTCCAAATATGGATGAGTGCCTTACATCAACTATCTTTTTTGTAATTTATGGATCTAAATTATATTGATTTTCTTCTTTTTAAAATTCTATCTAAGTTATTTGTTTAAAGATTTTGTTTTTTTTTTTTTCTATTCCCAAATTGACCAAAAGGACAATCCTATCGTTGAGAGTATTAAATGTAGCCAGAGCTCTCTATATTATTTATTGTATGTAGTCTATAGTATTTACTATAGCTACAGTGTTTTGAATGCAATAGAAAAACTTTGTTTATCTTCTCTCCTTCTCTTTGTATAAAGGATATAACCCTATTAATAAACTCACTTCTTATGTGTATGTTTACATATGTATGCATATTACTTTTAGCTACTATTGTCTCTCTTTTTCTAAAACATTCTCAACATGTTATCAGCACAATTGCTTTCATGCTCTAGTCTTAGTTCCTAATTCTTAAAAACTTATGTACATTTTTTCTTTTGTTTTCTCCTACAAAAAATTTTCCTTCTTATGTTGCTGCTGCTATTGTTGTCCTTTATTGCTATTGCTATTGGATTGCTACTGCTGTTGTTGTCTTGTATCGTTGCTGTTGCCGTCGACTAACGCACCTTGCTATTGATGGCCATTGACTAATGCACCCTGCCATTGATTGCTACTGATTGTTATTGATTGACGTTGACTAATGCACATTGTTGCTCACTACCATTGACTAATGCATCTTGCCACCGAACTGTTGCACCTTAATGTACCATACTGCAATCCATCGCATACTCTTATTTTTGTGGAGAAAAAAATCTAATTTATTTATTTATTTATTTTTAACATTTTTTATTTTGAGTTTTAATATTATTCTATTTGGCTTTATATTTTAAGATACATTTTACTCAACATTTTCTACTTGAATTTGTATTTTTTTGTTCACAGATTTATTTGTAATGAATGTTTCAATATCCTCAACTACCTCTACTATGTTTTCAACTATCACCATTCTATTCCAATATTTTCAAGCTCTTCTATTTCCACCATTAGCTACTAATGGAAACAATTATCTATTATGGCTAAAAATGACAAAAGAAAATTTATTTGCAAAACAACTATCGGATGTAATTTTGTTTTAAGAATCTCCTATTCGAAGTACTTCAATTCTTATTACTATCTGTTGGAAATCACTTCTTCTCCTTTGTCGACATCTTGTACCTACATTACAACATCAATATTTAGAAATGGAAGATATAGGCAAGCTCTAGGAGAATCTCAAATGCAGATTTGATCATCAAAAGACTATTTTCCTTCCACATACATGTCATAATTAGACACATTTATGTGTCTTAGATTTTCCAAATTTAAATACTTTCAACAATGAAATATATTATATTGTCTCACAACTATGATTATATGAATAAAGCATCTCTAAAGAAGAAATGATTGAGAAAACTCTCTCTATATTCCTCCTTGCATATATTGTACTTGTACAATAATATAGGAATATGAAATTTCAGAGTCATGTTGATCTCATGTCCTATCTATTTCTTGTAGAGAAATAAAACGAGCTACTCTTACATAATGCCGAAGCTCATCCCATTGGAACCACAATTCCAAAGTCTCATGCCCTTAATATTCCAAAGTCTAAGAAACAATTATACAAACATGGCAAAAATGCTCATAAGCACTAAGTCAATCATGGTCATCACCATTTTCTCCCATATAGAAAGAATAAATGTTTTATAATTAATTATAGTAGAAAATAAAAAGCAGAGATGCATTCTTGTCATAATATGGAATGATTGGACATTTGACACATGCATGCCATACTTCAGAATACTTTGTTAAAATATTCAAAGAAAATAAAAAAACTTCGAGCTGAATCTTATGAAGTTCATACTATAGATGAGTCTATGGATTCAGTTGGTATTTTTGATTTAGAGGCTTATATAAATGAAAAAATCTCTAATGATAAATGAGATGATGCGCTCATTGATTTTGCAACAACTCATACTATCCTACAAGATAGATGATTTTTTATTGAAAAATCTTCAACTGAGCAAACTAGAAATTTGATGACTATGGCTGAAATGAATGCATTTTGTTTCTAAGAGAGAATAACAATGGTAAAATTGCCTGCAAATTCTATCATAAAATGTAAACATACAATGTTTGCACCTCAAAGTCTGATCAGCTACGAAGATGTATATGCCAATGGTTATCACATCTCAACTACAATTCTAGATAGGCAAGAGGTTTTGGTTCTTAAACAAAAGTATGAAGTTGTAGAAAAGCCTTTGCTACTACAAATGGTTTATATCAAATCGCAATCTGGCCTCTTATTATATTTTATTTTGCATCATTTATAATATATAGTCATGTTTCTCTTTAGCATGGATAATTCAAACTTTCAGGATCTATATTATTTTGGAAGATAATTCCATGTATAATCATACATAATTTAAGATCTACAAATATAGATTCTATGGAATTATGGCATGCATGTGTGTAAGGTAAGATGATTGCTTGGCCTTCAATTTGGAAACTCCCTCAAGAATAACCAACAATGCTAGAAAGATTGCATGGTAATATTTGTAGTCCTATTAATCCAATATCTGGACCATTTTGTTATTTTATTTTTATCTTTGTTGATGCATCAGGCAAACAATCACATGTTTCATTATTATCATCTTGAAACATAGTATTTGCTAATCTTATATCTATACTAATTTTTTTTCAAGCACATTTTTGTGATTATCCTATCAGAACATTGTATATGGATAATGCAAAAGAATTTGCATCAAAGTCTTTTGAAGACTATCATACTACAATAGAGATTGAGTTGATATATTGTGTTCCATATAAACATGCTCAAAATGGACTTGTAGAGACATTTATAAAGCGTATACAATTTATTATCTAGCCACTCTTTCTTCATGCAAATTTACTTGCATCAATGTGCAGTCATGCAATTTTGCATGCTGTAGTATTAATATACCTCCATCCTTCCTCTCTTGAAATTATTACACTACAAGAGCTCATTTCAGGTCGTGTTCTAAATGTATCTTAGCTATGGATATTTGGTTGCCGTACTTGGATTCTAATACCAGAACCTCAATTATATACGATTCGAGCTCATCAACAAAAAAATATATATGTTGGTTTTGATTCACCAAGTATTATTTGTATAATCAATCCATCAATTAGCATATTATTATGTACTCGTTTTCAAAATTTCCATTTTGAAGAGAACATATTTCCATGTCTTCTAGGAGGAGTATTTAATCAACAAAGAAATACAATACTTACATTTGGAGCACCAAAAATATTTACAATGAATCTTGATCCTCGGACATCTTTGCCTGAAAGTGAAGTTGCAAAGATTCTGTATCTAAAATGGATTATAAATGAAACACCTGGTGGCTTCAATGATGCACCTTGGATTACAAGAGTTCTAATTAATGAGGCTCAAAATGAACTTACTCAAATTGCAATACCACTAACAAATATACCTCAGGTTAAAACATCAACAATTAAAAGGACTTATGAATTAGATACATAATCACAAAAGAAAAAAGCTATAATATGTGGTGATTCTAATATTGTTTCTACAGAAGTTCCTACTAAACCTATGAAACAATCAATTAATGACAATATGTCTATGCTTATTATATCTTCATGTCATGTTATAGAAAATTTTGAAATTAAAAAGAATAAAACCAAATTAAATACAAAATTATTTATTCTATATTGAGCTACAAATGACCTTTAGGATAGACCATTTATAATAATAGATGAATCATTTGCATTCATGATGACAGAAGCTCTTTCTTACGAGAAAGAAGATTCTAAATCTCAAACTATTCAAGAAGCAATGCATACATTTGATTAGTTAAAATGGAAAACTGCTATTAAGGAGGAGTATGCTTCTTTGTGTAAGAAAAAAGTCTTTGGTTCAATTGTGGACACTCTTACTTCTTATCCTATGGGATATAAGATGGTATTAATATGCAAGTGAGATGCTAAAGGTCAAATAATTCACTGCAAAGCTTGTCTTGTTGCTCAAGGATTTATCCAAAAGTTTGGCATTAATTATGAATCCACATATTTTTCAG